TATGAGCCAAACTGTTGACAAATGCCGAAAAGCAGAACCTCAATGAATTGAGATAATGCTCTGGAGAATGGTGGGTTACATCTATATTTATACATTGCAATCAAAGGAAGGGATGTAGGTGGGTTATATGAAATCTATTGGTGATATACTACAGAGGCAGGAGTAAGTAAAGCAGGTAAACCCCTGGGTTTGTATAAAAGGTAAAATGATAGTTGCATTCTTAGGTGGGTACAGAAAAATTAACATTATAACAATGAAGGAATTTGTGATATCTGCCCTGGTGCCTAGGCATATTAGGCTGTGCCCCAAGGGGTTCAGAAAAAGTGAAGTTATAAGTTACCCAGACATTTCAAGGGCATGTTATTATAGATGCAAAAAGACAGCTAGGCTCAATTAAGGTAAAAGTTCACTTTTCAGTGAAGATGCCGGCCTAGAAGGTAACTACCCACCATAACTGCTTTTATTTAAAATTTAATTTCAGACCATCCTTTTTGGTTATTTTAGGTCTCTGAGTTTGCAAGACCGCCATGCAGGCATTCCCTGAGCTTGTCAGTTTAGCATGTAGCCCCTTTTTCCACAGCTGTCCTTTCCACTATGACTTACTCATATTGTCTCAAGAACAATCCTAGAATTCACAGGCACGGGGTCACAGGAGCTGTATTTAAGGGACCCGTTTCCTGGATGGGGAACTGCCCTCTGTCCCTAGTTAGTCTGTTCATTGTGCCCACCGTCCATGCAGCTCCACTGCCAACAGTCACGGAGGTTCCCCCACAGATATAAGAAAACTTGTTCCCTGAGCTAAACAGGCACTGCTGTGTCGCATGGTGGACACTCCAGGATGCTGAGTATGCACACCAGGCTGGGTGACAGCACCTCCCACATGCAAGCTGAGGGCCTGGCACTAGAGGCCTGGGCTGCAGAGGGTTATGTTCCTCAGGTTCTTCCCCGAGGCGGCTGCCTGAGGCCCAGGGCATCCTTGCAGAGAACCACCTGCGTACAAGTAGCAGGACTGGGGCTGCCACTCTTTCAGAAATGCCAGGGAAGGCTTCCCCATGGCAGACATGCCTGCCTTGTCTCAGGAAGCTGGTTCAGACACTTGGCATCTTAATGTGAGACTCAGAACAACCACTAGGGGGCACTGTCATCTCCACAATCCTGTCCCAGGATTTTTCCTGGGAAGTTTTATATGAAACCTGCACATGAGAACCTTAAAAGTCCCACTTTCCATCCTGGCGGAGTGTGTCTTTTACTATTCACAGATAAGCTACTAGAATGTGCAGACCAGCCGCTTGCCCCTGAGCCCTGGCCCAGGCACCCTGGTCCACCCTCCCTCCCCATGTGACCACAAGGAGGGAGGAGCCCCCTGGCAGCTCAGACAGGTCCTCAGGGGAAGACATGCAAATGTGGCCTCTCCCCTGCTCATGAAAGCCTGCCAGGCTGGGTCCCTGCAGACCCTGGAGTGGAGCCCTCCTGTGTGAGCCCCTCAGTGTCCAAACCATGGAGTCTATGCTCATCTGGGCTGCCCTTCTCTTCACTGTCAAAGGAGCGTCCCTGTGCATCAGGCTCATGGGGACTGGGGGACATGGGGCAGATCTCAGTGTGTTTCTTTGTTTGCAGGTGGCCTGTGCCAAGTTCAGCTGGTGGAGTCTGGGGGAGGCATGGTGGTGCCCGGGGGGTCTCTGAGCCTCTCCTGCAAAGCCTCTGGATTCACCTTCACTGACTACAGCATGCACTGGGTCCGCCAGGCTCCAGGGAAGGGGCTGCAGTGGGTGGCAAGAGTGAGTAAACCAACTGGAGATACGCAGTGGTATGCTCCAGAAGTTCAAGGAAGATTCACAATCTCCAGGGACAATCCTACGAGCACAGTCTCTCTTAAAATGACCAAGCTGACATCTGAGGACACGGCCGTGTATTACTGTACAAGACACAGTGAGGGGAAGTCAGTGTGAGCCCTGACACAAACCTGCCTGAGGGGATCCTCAGGACCAGCAAGGGATGCTGAGAACCAGCAGGTGGAGCTCTGGTCATATGTCTACTCTTGGGCAAGTGCAGAGGGGTAGGGGCAGGCTTCCTATTGTGATGGGTGTTTTCCTAGCCTCTCCATGTTATTGTCTGGTCTCAGGGAAAAACACGTCTTGTTTTTTGAATCTCTAAGTTCTCATATCATCACTGGGGCCAGGAAGGAGAAGGAGCACTGTGTGTGCAGGTGAGTTATGAGCATTCACTAGAGACTTCCATTCACCAGTTCCCTACAGGACCTTCTCCATGAGCAGATCAGCCTCACAATTCTCACATCCCTGATGGGGACACATTTCCTTCAAAGGGAAACAGCACTAACATCAATGCCCTTGGGCTTAAGCTCACACTCTCTGGCCCAGTCTGTGTGGCTCAGTGATAGACCATTGTCCTATGGGCCAGAGGTCATGATTTGATTCAGGTGAGGGCACATGAGCATCGGATTGGTTCCCCAGCAGGGAGCATGCTGGAGACAGCAGATCCATGATTCTCTCTCACCATTGATGTTTCTATCCCTCCTTCTCTGAAATGAATAAAAATATCTATAATAATAAAAGTGTAATACACTAATTAGACTGGACATCCTTCCAGATGAAACCAGGGCTGCAAGGGAAGCTGGGGTCCAGGGTGCCTGCCAGCGGCTGGGGGGAAGCCCAGGTCCCAGATGCCAGAGGGAAGCTGGTGCTGGCAGCTTGGGGAAGGAAGGCCTGCTCTTGCATGAATTTCGTGCATTGGGCCTCTAGTACTTTAAAAAAAGAACCTCACACTCTCTGTCCTCAGACTGGTACACACTGTCCTACATGGCCCCTTACTTCAGACAGGCACTCCCGTGCTCCTTGCTGTCTTCTATAAAACTTTAGTCATCAATGTACGCAACCACTTCATCTATTCATTTGACATGTGCATTCCTCCAGAGTCACCCAGGACACATCCCAGACAAGTGGCCTGAAGCTTCCATCTGCCCCCTTCATACAGGAACGTTTCTGATGGACATTTCCTGAAGTGACAGAGATTCATTTGAGTCGTCACTTTGCTGTGAACATTGTTTAGAAAGGATGTTGCTTGATGCAGGGCACACGTGTGACAACACATCAGGATAAGAGCCACATAGAGGATAAATGTACACTGACTTACAGGAAGGGGTGGCACACACCTGCCAGGTGCTTGATGGACCCACTGGCCTGAGGAAATGGGGATGACCCTGAACTCTCTCAGATGGGAGCCTGAGTAACCACCAGTGGAGTCTGAATTCTCACTCACTACAGCGTACTCAGGGAAGGACTACCCATGAGTGTGAACCAGAGATGCAGATTCTGGAGGGGATGTTGCAGTTGTAGGTCTCTGAGCAATGAGTGTCTCCATGTGGGAGACAGGGGACTGAGGGCAACTGCAGGGGAGCTCACGGGGAAGTTAACCATCAGGATGGACACCAATAATAGAAAGACTCCTAATTCATCCTGGAACCAGGATCCTAAGGAAGCCAGGGTCCCTCCCAGAGCTGGCCTTACTCACCTGCCCACTGTTGCTCCATCCACCAGGTGACCTGGGAGAGCAGCCTCACCCGACAGCTGACAATGCTGCTTCCTCCTCCCCTCCCAGTTCTGAGGTGTACACCCAGCTTAATGAGGGGGTCTTTGGGGACACACTGCAATGCACCCCTGTAGTCAAAGAGGTGACCAATTGCCACCTCTAACTCTCCCTGAAATGTTCTAACCTGCATGTGGGTACACAGGACCTGAAAGAGCACAGACACACCAGAGCCTGCTCTTCAAAGACTTTGTTTGTATCATGGGTGCATTTGATCGGTTTCCAAAGAAAGTCACACCCAAGCCTCCAATTCCCTTGTGGTTCCTGACCATGTGCAATGGACAGGGAAGAAGGGCAAATGTGGATTCATAGCAAAGACAATCATCAGTGTGTATGTATGTATGTGTGTGTGTGTGTGTGTGTGTGTGTGTGTAACCTATTAAATACTAAAAGTGCTGTGAGATTTGGACCAATGCAGGGACTAGAGGAACCTAATAACATAAGAGGCCCCAGGCCCCTGGGAGCTTCTGGATGAGTGGAGTGTCAGCTGTGTCTGTGCAACTGGGAGCTCCAGGGAAGGGCTCCCTGGTGGCTTCCTAAAGCCCTGGTTTGGGGTCTCCCTGCAGACCCATTGGGACTCAGGAAGGCCAGTTCACTCTGTCCAGAGACATCAAAACCACACGGTGTCCCTGAGGGAGCAATCTAACGTCAGGGAACAGTCTTCTCTACTGGACTAGAAAAAACTGAGAGGTCAATGCCCTGTGAGCTTAGACAGGACCCTCCCCTACAGATCCAGGGCTGGACAGCAGAGGGCGCTCAGGGCCCAGGAGCACAGGTTGCTGCCACAGGAGCAGGTGCAAAGGGAGTTGGGCAGGGGTTTCCTCTAACTCCTGGGCCTTTCTCTCTTCATACAAACCATCCAAACTGAAAGTTGGACATGACTGCAGATGTGACTGTGAATATCCTGCTCTATGACAGCATTTATCAAACTCAATGAGACATGAGAACTACTCACAAGGGGGTGTTTCTATGGCTTCTGGATATCTGAATTGTAAGGGGCTGGGCAGGGATGGATTTATTACCTCACTAGAGGCAACATTTTGGAGACACGTTGATCCAGGAAGAAGACATTCAGGTATCAAAGCCCAGAGCTGGTCCAGGTGGCCCCATTCATACAAAGGTGAGCCCATAAAGGTGAGCATGTCCTGTGGGGCTGGTTCCTTGGGGAGCTCTGTCTGCACAGTGGTCATGAACCTGGCAGATGACTCACCTCCTCCACCCAAGATTAGGACTTGGACACTCAGACTCCCACTGAGCCTGGTCCCTGTGTCAACCATCTTCTCTCAGGTGGGGTCAAGACCTCAGCTATGAAATACTCTTCTTCATGAATATGCAAAAGAGAGGAGGCAGAATGGATTAAATATGACTAATTCTGTGCCCTGAGGGCATCACCCACAGCCACACCCTCCCCTACAGAAGTGCTCACAGCACAGCCCTCACCATGGACTGGAGTTGGAGAACCCTCCTCTTGGTGGCCATGGCTACAGGTAAGGTGCTCCCCAGTGTCTGGTTTGAGGAAGGGACCAGTGAGAGTCAAGGGAGATTTCTACTCACTCTTGTCTCCTCCCCACAGGTGTCCACTCCCAGGTGCAGCTGGTGCAGTCTGGGGCTGAGGTGAGGAAGCCTGGGGCCTCCGTGAAGGTCTCCTGCAAGGCTTCTGGATACACCTTCACCAGCTATGCTATGAACTGGGTGAGACAGGCTCCAGGAAAGGGCCTGCAGTATATGGGCTGGATCAACACAGAAACTGGGAAACCCACGTATGCCCAGGGATTCTCAGAAAGATTTGTGTTCTCCATGGACACCTCTGTCAGCACGGCCTATCTGCAGATCAATGGCCTCAAGTCTGAGGACACGGCTGTGTATTACTGTGCAAGACACAGTGAGGGGAAGTCAGTGTGAGCCTAGACACAAACCTCCCTGCTGGATGGGCTGTGACCACCAGGGAGCAATCAGGGTCCCTGAACACAAGAACCATCCCAGCAGCAGGTGCAGTTGGAGGTTTGGGCTGGTTTCCTCAGTGGTTTCCTCTTCATGTCACAGTTTCCCTCAGGGAACCTCTGGATTCCTGATTCTGCACTTACCTCGGAAGCGCTTGCATTAGAAAAGTCTGTTGTAAAGAGACACAACTTTCTCACATGGACAAAAGACACAGAATCTCTTTCAGACCACTCTTGTGCCCAAATGACAATCATCTAATTTTCTGAACCAAATGCCCTGAATCTAACAATAGGCTCTGCTGACTTAACAGTGCAGCTCACCTAAATGCTCACCTTAAATTGAAAAACATCTGTATTTCTAGACATGGCCAACACAGTTATTTGAACCCAAAGCTGAGAAGAAAACCCCGGTGATGACAGTCATTGACTTGTCATCATGCTCATAGCACAAGAGTAGCTGACACCAGGAAGAGGCAGAGGCAGCCACATAACTTGGTGCAGATGTCTAGGCTGATCATGAACACAAACATTAAGGGACATAGGATGTTTATTATGCACATGGTTGAAATCTTTGGGAAGCAGAGGAAAGGCCCTTCAGTCAGAGCTGGTTGGTGAAGCCATAAAAGGAGACTGGCTCAAGGCGGTTGTGGATGGTGAGGAATTCTGCTTCCAGCGGGTGGTTTCAATCTCAAAATGACATCTAAGGAGAAAACTATGATATCTTAACTCAATTCCTATGTCAGGAGCAGATGGAGAAGAGGCAGCAATGAGCCAACACTTGTCAGAACTTAAACAAAAAAGAAAATAGAGTATGGCTACCCATTTTTCTTACAACTATAAAAAAGCAAAAATTCAGATAAAACATCTTTATGTGTGTACAAAAACAAGATCTATATAAAATGAGAAGAATAATTATAAGTAAGCAAATGATGATGATGAAAATTATGATGGTGATGATGATGATAATGGACTGAGACAGGGGTCTAGGTCCATTGAAATTATGGCTCCTTATAAAGACACACCATCACAATGGCTCCTGCATTGAGGGGTGTCCACTCTTCTCTGTAAGTGTTGACACATTTTCTACTGGGAATCCAATGAATTATGCAGCTTGGGTGATCGCTGATGTGACCAGGTGGGTAATGAGGCCAAAGATGCCCACGTGTGAATCCTCTGGGCCTGGGAAGGTGTTAACTTCTATAACTGAGACACTGTGAGGATGTGCATGTAGATAACAAGGAATCACCTTTTCACAGGGTCCTATTTCTCTTTATCCCTACCTGCATGACCCTTAACATATCTATTTCTAAAAATCTCCTGTTGATTATTATTCAGGTATTTTCTCCAATGTTAGAAGCTTTCCCCATATGCCCTGTATTTTCTGCTGAGCTTTTAGTAGAAGAAGCTTTAAAACCGTATGTAGAGTAACAATCTGTTCATGAAAGTCAGGCATATTTCTGATGTGTGATTCAAAATAAATCTTGCATCCTCCCCTTACCCAGATCCAAAGTCAACAATATTCTAGGACATATTGAAAGGATCTTTTATCATGAACAAGTGGAATATCGTCCATAATGCAAGGATTGTTCAATGTATGTAAACCACAGAATGTAGGATGAAAACATTTCATCACACTCTCTGACCCAGCTGGTGTGACTTCGTGGTTGAGAGTCGACCTATGAACCAGAAGGTCATGGTTTAATTCATGGTCAGGGCACATGCCCAGCTTGTGGGCTTAATCCCCAGTAGGGGGTGTGCAGGAAGCATCTGATCATGATTCTCTCCCATCGTTGATGTTTCTATCTCTCTCCCTTCTTCTTGGAAATCAATAATAGTATATTTTTTAAATAAGCTCACACTCTCTGTCCTCAGACTGGTACAGACTGTCCCTACATGGCCCCTTCCCTCAGACCGGCACTCCTGTGCCCCTTGCGATCTAAAATAAATCAGAGGCCCAGTGCACACAATTTGTTCACAGGTAGTGTCCCTAGCAGCTGCTGGCTCACGGCCAGGGCCTCCCTTCCCCTGTTGCTGGCTGCTGACCAGGACCTTCCTTCATTCCACACCTCCCCGTGGTGGTCAGCATATGTCATAGTGAGCGATCAAACTCCCAATCGGTCAAACTCCCGAGGAGACACTTTGCATATTAGGCATATATATATATGTCATCAACACACACAACCCACTAAATATATTCATCTTACATGTGCATCCTCGATGATCACCCAGGATATGTGTCAGACAAGTGGCCTGAAGCTGCCATCAGGCCCCTGCTAAGCTGACCTGCCATGAACCATGGCAATACCAGGTAATTCAATGCTACTCACAGACAGGCCTGTGCAAGGTGAGGGCACAGCCAGCACAGAACACTTCTAACAGCAAACACACCTTATGTCAGACATTCTGCCATCTGTAGGACAAGACCCTGTGATGGGCAAGGTGGGCTGGTGAGCCAAATGTCAAGGTGTCCCCAGTGACCAGAGCTTGTGTAGACAGTGAGATCTCTGTGAAGGTGAAGTCACAGCACAGACACAAAGCAGAACTGGGAGAGGAATCCTCAGCTGGAATAACTTCAGAGAAAATGCAAAGTTTAGTAAATGATGGTAAGAGAAGTGTTTACTTAAGAAATTGAACAAGGGGAAGAAAATGTGTACTTCCATTGAGTGTAACTCAACACAGATGAAAACTAATGATTTCCTGGCCTTTCTTTCGTATAAAAATACTAGAGGCCCAATGCACAAAGATTCGTGCAAAAATGGGCCTCCCTTCCCCTGAGTGCTGGCACCACCTTTGCTCTGGCCAGAGCCGCCTTTCTGCCTTCCCACACTGCCCAGAGGACCAGAGCTGCTAGGGTGGTGCAGAACGCCTGGCAACAACACAAGCATCCCACCCCACTCCCAGCCGCTAAATGGCTGTGTATGCAAATTAACTTGCCATCTTTGTTGGGTTAATTTGCATACTCACTCCTGATTGGCTGGTCAGTGCCGTAAAGGTACAGTCAATTTGCATCTTACTCTTTTATTAGAGTAGATGTTTTTATTGATTTCAGAGAGGAAAAGAGAGGGAGAGAGAGATAGAAACATCAATGATGAGAGAGAATTATCTACCAACTGCCTCCTGCACAACCTCCATGGGGATTGAGCCTGCAACCTAGGCATATATCCTGACCAGGAATCAAACTGTGACCTCCTAGTTCATTGGTCAATGCTCAACCGCTGATGCACGCCAGCTGGGATCGGCTTTTCATTATATTCATTCAACTGTCTAAAAGTACCAACTGAGTTGGTCCGAGGGTTGTGGGTTATTGTTAAGCTGATTAACTAAAAGTACCAACTGGCCCTATCTAGTTTGGCTCAGTGGATAAAGTGTCGGCCTGCATACTAAAAGGTCCCAGGTTTGATTCCAGACAAGGGCATGTACCTTGGTTGTGGGCTCATCCCCAGAAGGGGTGTGCAGGAGGCAGCTGATCGATGTTTCTCTCTCATCGATGTTTCTAACTCTCTATCCCTCTCCCTTCCTCTCTGTAAAAAATCAATAAAATATAAAAAAATAAAAGTACCAACTGCCTGGATTGCACACACAATCATTTGCAGGAAATCCTCAGGTTCCGTGTCCTCACGCTGCTGTCCTCCTCACAGACTAGCCCTAAACTTAACCATGGTCTTCTCAGCCCAGTGCTCTGTTGGACAGAAAGGCACATGGTCAGGGTGCCCCGGGGCTCAGAGTGACACTAGGGTGCCGTGGCCCCACAGCCCTGGCCTGAGACGTTTCCTGAGTGGCAGCTCAGCGGCAGCCTGCAGGGAGAGTCTTCTTTCACAATCCCACCACCCTCAGGTGGCGCCCATTCTTTATCACCAGGACACTGAAGGCTGCGTGCACACCTGTCTTCAAGCTGCAATTCTGTTTTCCCTTTCCTTCCTCTGCTTCTGGTCCACACACAGCTCTACGAGCTGCTCTCCTGGGTCAGCAGCCTTTGGCCCTGAAAATTCCAATCAGTTGGCTTCTCCTCACACTCTGAACAGCCTTGATGCAGCCTTCGTTATGGTGGCCTCATCCATCCCCTGAATATCTGTTCCTTGTCACCAAGCTTGTCTGCATGCAGGCCCAACGCACCCTGGGCTGTCTCCACAGTTCCCTGGCATTTATTGTGCCATATGCCCAGGATCACTTTGGTAATCTGTGTGAAAATCTGGTCGGACTGTGAACAATATACAATACAATCCGATGTATTAATCCATGAAATGAGTCACCATCTCTGGGTTCAGCAGGGTCAGAGCCTCCAGGACACCAGGTGTTTTGAGAACAACCATGGCCACCCTGCACATGGCTGTGTCCACTGCATCCACCTTGGGGCATCCCCAGCCCTGGCCTTGGCGGCCAACCAGGACAACTCCCACCAAGGCCGAATCAGCTCCTGACCAGGGCCTTTCCATGACCAGCTTTGGTCAGCCTCCTCCCAATCTCTTCCCATCCAGGTTGTGATCTGTAGACTTGAAGGGCCATCTCTGCACAGCCCATTATTAGCAAGAAACCCATCAAGCTGGTTTGGCTAGAATCCCCCAACCTCAGTATGTGCTCACCCTCGAGGCCTCATTGGGTTCCCCACCCAACACGACCCCCTCCAGGAGATGTTTGGTCACTCTGGCCGGCCCCCCGCATGAAGGCTGTTAGGGCGAATCACCCCCCCAACCCCGCAACCCTGCTGTTCTCTCTTAGCACCTGTCCATCCACTGACCTACCCTCTCCCTGCACCTCAATTCCAACATGTGCTTGTTTCATTCAGACTTGAACCATCTCTCTCTCCTACTGACAACCCCTCTCGACCCTCCCCTGATTCAGTCTGCCTTCCCATTCCTCCCTTAACAAGTGTGAGGATGAAGGTTTTCCCTCAACGCTCTGCCCACTGAGGGCCTGAGCCGATCAGGGCACACTGCAGCCCTGCCTGTCAGTAGGCCCAGCCCAGGAATTTCCTGCCACACACTGGGGTCTGGTTGACTTGTGACCATGTCCCCCTTGGCAGGTGGCAGTTCCCACATGAGTGCCCTACCAGCCTGCAGTCTGGGTGTCCGTCTCGCTCCCTCCCAGGAGCTCATACATGCACCTCTCCTCAGGCCCCAGGATTCTTGGTTATGAACCCTGGGACATCTCCCCTGGATGGCAGGGCTGGGAATATGCAAACTCACCTGGGAGACCCCCCTTTTAACCCAGGAATTCCCTTCCCACCTCCCAGCGGTGTGCTCAGAGCTGTCCTCACTCTCCACCTCCAGCATGGGCTGTGCCACAGCCCTGGCCATCCTCCTGGCTGTGCTCCCAGGTGAGTCACAGACCAGGTGTTGGGGTCCCAGAGGAGGGAGGCTGGGAGGTGCCCCACCCTGAGTTCTGCTCTCCCATGCAGGTGTCTGCACTCAGGGGCAGCTGGTGCAGTTGGGGGCGAGGCGAGAACACCTGGGGAGTCTCTGAGGATCTCCTGCAGGACTTCTGGCTGCAGCTTCTCCTGCCGCTGGTTCCACTGGGTGCACCAGATGCCAGGGAAGGGCCTGGAGTGGATGGGATTGATCTGGCCTGGTGATTGGGATACCAGATACAGCCCATCCTTCTGAGGCCACGTCACCATCACCATGGACAACTCCATCAGCACCGGCTACCTGCAGTGGAGCAGCCTGAAGGCCTCTGACACGGCTGTGTATTACTGTGCGAGGGACACAGCGAGAGAAACCACATCCTGTGGGCACCAAAACCCTCCACCAGCGCAGGGAAGAGGCCCGGGCACCTGCCTCGGGGACCCTTCAGATCTGCCCCTGGAGGAAGCATCATTTGCTGTGCCCACAGGACTGAGAGAAGGAGAAGGTCAGCATGGAAGAGCCAGGCCCTGATGACATGATGGGAGGGACTGCTCCTGGGCCCTGACCCTCTTCCTGGGAGGCAGCTGTTGTGCAGAGCTCACCCCTGGGCTGGGACTTGGCCCCTGGTGCTGGTTGCTCCTTCTCTCAGCTGCTGCACAGGAAACTCCACAGGCAATCTCAGTGTCCCCAGCGCCCTCAGGGCCATCTGTCTCCATCCTCCCACACCTGCTCTCATCTTGGATAATGTGTCTGTTTTATCTTCCAGGTCATAGAAATTCTTCACTCATTGTTCTCTCTGATTCTTGACTTGGTGCCTTTCACAACAAAAATTGTGCTTATTTTTTGAGTACTTATCTTATTGTTTTTTATTTCAAAAAATTATTGGTTTTATGGGGTTTGTGCTGTTCTGCTATTTTTGACAAGGTTTCTTCCTGTAACTGGGTGGAATATAACAGGTTCTGACAATAAAATATCATGTCTCACAAGTGCTGTAGATGGACTTCCATTCCTTTTATACAGTTTGTCTGCTGGTTCTTTTTTATTTCATCTTCTGCTTGAATTTGCTCCTCATTTGTGGAATGTCCCAATGAAAAGTGTCAGAGCTCCGGCTGGGGATGAAGGCTATGTGTGGTCCCCAGGGCTCCTTCAAACAGGGAGAAAGGGGTGTTTCATATGAGGCTGGGCACTTGAATTTATTCGGAACTGGTTTCATGTCAAGGACGAAGCTGTTGTGTGGCTCCTGTTGAAGTCTGTGATGGCTGATGCTCTAATGCACGGATGAACCTCGGCAATCGCACGCATGTCTCCTGTGTTTCTCACTTGCAGCCTCTCAGGGGTGTGGCTGCAGGAAACCTCCCTCCTCAGCTCAGTCACCATCCCTCCTGCTGTGGAAACCAGCAAAGTGTTATCCTCTGTCAGTGGCTGTCCTGGGGGAGGGTATGATTGACGCATTTTGCTTATTCAAACATCTTCCAAAGTCAGGGAGGATTTTAAAGCGGCACAAATATTCATTCCCAAGCAGATGCACATATCAACTATTTTCATGTCATTGGAGACAAGAAGCCACCTTGGTGTTGCTGGTCTATGGGTCAGAACTCATTATATTTGCCTTTGGTTTCACTCTTGTTTGTGGAGCTGTGGGAGGAATCACCTTGCTTGCCATGTGCTGTGTTTGTCCTGTGGACGCTCTCAGACACCAAGCAGGGTTTCTCTCATATTCTAAGGAAATCCCAGGAGAAGCACAGGCAGGCCATAGAAGGCAGCGCAGTCCACAGGCACCTGCACCCAGCAGATGGGGTGCCATTTCCTACCCCTCCCTAGGAGAGCCCTGGAGGCAGGGACTGCCACCCACACCACCCTTAGCTTGGGTCCCTGCACCTCTGCCCATGCAAACCGACCCAGCTTCAAGGAGAAATCCAGGCAGGTGTGAAGAGTCACTGTGTCCCTGGCTCTGGGCCAGGGTCCCTGGGAGCACTGACCTGTGCAGACACATGAGGCCCTTCAATGGCTCCTGTTCCTCCTGCTGTCCTGTGTCTGCAGCACGTGACCCATGCATCTCAGAAGTGGGTGATGGCGTGAGCCAAGTGTCTGTGTGACCCATAGATGTTCCCTGTCCTCAGTTCTCCATCCTGAGGACCATCTCAAAGAATAGGGACACCAAGTAGTGGTCTCCTCATAGATGCCCATTCTCACCTGAGCCACCAACACTGACCCCACCCCCAGTTTTTTTAATATTCTGTGTGTGGATCCACCATCACCCAGGAAAGGGGCCAGAGTTGGTCAGTGTGACCTGGACTAAAGGGATCACTCAGCAAGTCCCCAATCTAGAGCACTGATAAGCATCTCCAGGCACACAACCCAGAACCAAGTGTTCCTGCAGCTGAGCAGTGTGAAAACTGAGGATGCCAGTGTGTAAGACTGTTCCCAAGGGCTGTGGTCCAAACCCAGTGGGAGCCAGACACAAGGTCCCTGCAGAGGCAGGAGGGTCAGCTGCAGAGTGCACAGGGCCCAGCAGGAACCCCAGGATGGCCAGCGGTGGTGGCATTTCACTCTGTCCCTTTGGGGGATATGGTTGCTGCTCCTAACAGCCACGGCCCCTGGGGGCTCTGGGTCTGGGTCTTCCCAAAAAACTATCACACAGCATCCTACTCCCCAGAGCATTGGATAGACTAAGTGGGTCCAGAGACTCAAGGAGGGGCAATGATGGATTCCACGTCTGATCCCAGGGCCAGCTGCAGCCATGACAGTTACCACTAACCTCCTAACACCCACATGGAGATGTCCATGCACATCAGGGCTGGAAAGGGTCTCAGGCCCCTGATAACAAAGTGCACAGACAGGGGATGTGGGGATCACGATAGTGGTCCTGGGCCCCACACAGACCTCAGGTGCATGTGACAGACCTGGGGGAACCTGACTCCCCTTAGGAGTTCGGGGACCACCTCCCAGGAGAGGTACGACCTTCTCCATAATAGTGAGGACTCTGAGGCCACAGGTGGATCCATCCCTGAAAGTGGGGGGGAGGTTAACACCAGAGCACAGATGCTCATCCATGCTCTCATCTCATACAAGGGTTCTGCACCCTCACTGTGCAGGTTTTGCTCTGCCCTGGAGTCAGTTCAGGGAAGCAGCAGGAGCCAGTGGGGAGGGCTCAGTCCAGATGCTGGGCTCACTGTTACCAAATGTGGTCAGTGGACATTTCCCAAACCTTCCTATGATTCTGAATTTAGTTATAACAATATTTTCAGAATATGATTCTCCCTCAGGACACTCTGAGCTGCATGGAGACACTGCCCTCCCTGTAGGTGTCCAAACCCCAGAGCTCCCTATATAGCAGGAGGACATGCAAATAGGGCCCCCTCTGCTCATAAAAAACAGCCCATCCCTGACCCTGCAGCTCTGGGACAGGAGCCCAGCCCCGGGATCCTCAAGTTCCCATTCCCTGATCAGGACTGAACACAGACCACTCACCGTGGGCTTTGGGCTCAACTGGGTTTTCCTTGTGGTTCTTTTAAGAGGTAATTTATGGAGAACAAGAGACACTGAGTATGGTTGTAGATGTGAGTGAAACAGTGGACGTGTGCGAGTTCCCTGACCAGGATGTTTTTGTGTTTGCAGGTGTCCAGTGTGAGGTGCAGCTGGTGGAGTCTGGGGGAGGCTTGGTGCTGCCTGGGGGGTCTCAAAGACTCTCCTGTGCAGCCTCTGGATTCAGCTTCAGTAGCTACTGGATGCACTGGGTTTTCCAGGCTCCAGGGAAGGGGCTGGAGTGGTTATGTGGAATGGATCCTAATGGAAGTACCACAAATTATGCCAACTCTGTGAAGGGACGATTCACCATCTCCAGAGACAACGCCAAGGACATGCTGTTTCTGCAAATGAATAGCCTGAGAGCTGAGGACACAGCTGTGTATTACTGTACAACAAACACAGTGAGGGGAAATCATTATGGGCCCAGACACAAACCTCCCTGCAGGAGGATCTGTGACCTTCAGTGGGCCCTCAGGGTCCCTGAACAGAAGGGCCATCCCAGCATCAGGTGCAGTTGGAGGTGTGGGCTGGTTTCCTCTTCATGTCACAGTTTCCCTCAGGGAACCTCTGGATTCCTGACTCTGCACTTACCTGACATCTCTGTGGTAGAAAGTCTGTTGTAAAGAGAGACAACTTTCTCACGTGGACAAACTGCAGAGTGTCTTTAAGAGACTCTTGAGCCCTAATGCCAATTTACCACCAAATGACCTGCATCCACTAAATCTAACCAGAGTCTCTCCTGACTCAACAGTGCAGCTCAGCACCACACAGCTCAGGGTCCCACCAGCCAGAAACACAACTCATGTGTCCTAGACAGTGGGCACCAGAAGCCTATGAATGCAAAGCTAGAGAAGAAGGATCCCAGTGGCGACAGTCATTGACTTGGCATCATGCTCATAGCACCAAAAGTAAGTGACGCCAAGCAGAGGTATGGGGACCCACAGCAGCTTGGTATGGATGACCAGGGTGATGATAACACACACTACAAGGGGCATGGAATGTTTATTATGCTCATAATTGAAATCTCTGGGAAGCACAGGAAAGGCCCTTTCGGAAGTTAGATCTGATTTGATGGATCCAGGAATGGGGACTGACTCAGGGATTTTATTTTGTCCAGGTGGTGGGGTGGGGGAGGAATTCTGCTTCGAGGGGCTTGTGTGGTTTCAACCTCTATTTTATTATTATTATTATTATTATTATTATGAACCAAACAAACTTTAATATTTCAAGGACAACCCAAATGAGTTACTGGTGGGGTTACAGAAGTTCCCACTCATGCCACAACAGCAAGAATCAATTCTGCAAGTAAAAGTAATTACCTCTTTGGATTCATAAAAACAATATATTAAAGGATGTCACAAAGTGCAAAAAGACATTCAGCAGAGCAAAACAAACAGCAGGCTGATTGTTCTAACAAGAGGGCAGATTGTCCTTATGGAGTTTAGTCCCAGGGAACAGCTGCCTTAGGAAAAACAAGTCCAGACATGGGTTTTGATCGATTCGTTACAACTAGATTTAAAGGAAATTAGATTTCCCATGACTGTAATAAGAACTTACAACAAAGAGAAACTTTAACCAACCATCTCATATTTAGGTTGAGCAAGAAATGAGCAGTGAGACTCAGCCAGGGTATCTGACCACGATGGACACTTCTGCTGCTGAGCTCTGAGCATCTCCCGCAGGATGATCTGGAATTGCTCCTGCACCAGCATTTCTATCATCTGCTTCTTTGTGTGAGTAGTGGGTCTCAGCCACTGCCTAGCAAGAGCTACCAGATGCCTGAAGACTTCCCTAGGCCTGGATGGACCCTCATATCAGAGCTTTCTGAACATCTGCCTGAAGATGAGAGGGTTGACAGGATTCCTGCCTGGCCCATCTCAACATTCTTGACACAGACTTTGTCAAGGCTCTTTGGTGGATGGCCAGAAGGCACTTGTGAAACCTGGGCCTGGGGAACCGCTGTCAGGACATCTCCTGGCTCCTTGGCTATCTCATTTGGAGATGACAGTATTTGATCATTCTGGACTTCTCTATATCTTTGTGTCTTTGGATCTCCTTCAGTCTGAATTCTGGCTCTCTGGAAAAGGATGACTCAGGCTCCTGCACATTTGCCATTTCAGAGGGAGCAGACACCTCACAAGCGACTCCGAGAAAAAGCTCAACCTCTTTTTGACGTCTGGAGAGGAGAACCAACGTTTCCTTTCAGACTCCCAATTGGGTTCAAGTGAGAAGAGGCAGCAATGAGCCATCAGTTTTCAGCAATCAAATGAAAAATAAAATAAAATATGGCTACCTATTTTACTGAACAATTATAAAAATTGAGCAAATATTAAGAAAAAGGGTCATTATGTGGGTACAAAAACAACCTCCATAGAAAATTAGGCAAATGCTTATAAATAACAAAATAATGATGATAATGGTCATGGTGGTGATGCTGATTGCCAGGACTGACTAGCAGACACTGAGCGACAAATGAATGGATTACTCTCACACATGTTTCTGTGAAAAGAGGCTAAGGGACTGCCTGGCTAAAAGAACCAGACAGCTTCATTTACCTGCCTCCTTAGGCTAATATTGTAGCAACAGCTTAAGCTAAAATTAACCTCTAGATACTATCAGCAGGGTAAAGTATCCTTGAGAAGGCACATGCTCTTACAAGGTCATGTCTAACGACTAAACACCTGGGGGCTTGGACTTATTTGGAAAAGTCAGGGCAGGTGCTGCATTCTTCTGCAAGGTCACCCTAGAGGCCCACGGCCTTTCGAAGATTCATCCTTACAGATTTTCTAACCAAGTTCTGTGCTTCTCCACAGATGATGGTGGTGATGACCATAAAATTGGACAGGGGGTGTGGTCCACTGTCCTGGGTGAGATCTCTCTCCTATCCAAAACCATAATTTGTTTGTAAAATTTTGTATCAACTTTGTTATGTCCATTGTGGTTTTAATTTCCAATGACATCTAAATAGAAGATTCCTGCTTTTATGATTTGTTAAAAAGTCAAAGTGTGTGGACAACCACCGTGTCTACAAAATATGGAAATGATTATAAGTAAGCAACTGATGATGACGATGATGATGATGATGATGACAGTGATGATGATGATGGACAGAAACAGAGGTCCTGATCTAAAGAAATGAAGGCTCCTTATACGGACACACCATCATCATGGCTCCTCCAGTGAGGGGTCTTCACTCTTCCCTGTAAGTTTTGAGAGATTTCACAAATGAGAACCAATGAATTATGCAGCTTGGGTGATTCATGGTGTGGCCATGTGAGTAATGACCCCAAAAGTCTCCAAGTGCAGATCCCTTGCACCTGGGAAGGTGTTAACTTTCAGAACAGAGACACTGTGAGAATCTGCAGGTAGGAAACAGGAATCCCCTTCCCAAACATTCCTTATTTTTCTTGATCCTTACCTGCATGATCTGTAACGTTTATATTTCTAACAAACTCCTGTTCATAATTATTCAGGTATTTCCTATGATGATACAAGCTGTCTCTATCATGCCCTGCACTTCCTTCTGGGCCTTCACCTGAGAACTATTAAACCCATATTTCCAGTAACT